GAGTGCAGTTAAGACTATTTCAAATTGGAGGCCCGAAGGTGCTTATTCATCTGCATGCAAATGTTGTAGATCACATCTCTGAATTCGATGTGATTAAAGTGATTATTGCTTCGAAAAATTTTATATATTTGTCACTAATTATCGCAGGCACACTGGTGGCTCACATGACTGAGCACAAAGCTGCCGTTAATCAAATATGCGTTTCCCCGGATCACAAATTCTTTGCAACCTGTTCGGATGACGGAACCGTCAAAATATGGGACTGTTCTCGATTTGTAAAGAATTTTAATAACCGTTCAAGGGTAACATATAGTCAACAAGGTAACCTTATGAGTTGGCATATGGACGAGAGTGTACCTTTATTCTTGTTTAACCAACCGGTCGATTTTCCATAGGCGGCAAGATCAAGTGTATGACGTTTATCGATAGCACACATAGCATTGCAGCCGCATCCGATAATGGAAGTATTCACGTGTTTAGAATTGATTATATGACTGGCGTCAATTCGCCAAAGTATGGTAAGCCAGTGACCATACGGGAGACATACTTGGATGCGGAATATGCAGTGGCAATGGAACATTTCGATACCGGTATAGCATAACATATCACGTTTGTCAATAGCCGTCGAAATTTTACACTTGTGATGAAAGGAAAAAATAAATACAATTCAAATAATTTGGGTAAATTTCAGGCACCGAATCTATCCTGTTGTATGCGACTTCCAAGGGAAACATATGTGGATTGGATTTGCGATCCATGGAAGTATTATGGACTTTCGAGAACCCGAGAAGTCACGGTGTTATCACCGCAATGGTGACAGACAAAAAATATCGATGGCTTCTTATCGGCACGTCGCGAGGAATCTTCACTCTATGGGATCTAAGATTCAGGATTCAACTAAGGTCATGGGTGCATCCCACAAAAAGTCGAATCAGCAAACTTTTGTTGCATCCACAAGCCGGATCTGGTAGGCAAAGGTGGTGGGTGATTGTTGCGGCAGGAAAAAATGAAGTATCAATTTGGGATATAGAAAAGGTTGAATGTAAAGAGGTTTACACGGTGAGAAGCGGAGATGAGAAAATTAGTGGAATTACGTTCAAGGTAGTAGATATTCTTTATTCAAAGAGTAAAGATTTATTTCAAATGAATGTATCTGAGTTTTATCATTTTTGTCACTCCGGAATGTCCTCTTCAACAGGCCATCGATCCACCAGGACCGAGCGAAATTCTGAGAAGCGTTTTCACGGCTCACGAAAGTGGTTTTTCGACGGATAATTCAATTCGCGCGGTTATCTTTCAATCCGAGTGTAACTACATGATTACCGCTGGATCCGATCGTAAAATTAGGTTTTGGGATAACAATCGCATCGAGGATTCATATGTAATTGTTGGCTCTGAAGTTGAGGATTCCAAACCTATATATAGGTATATATGCGTGTGTGTATATGTATATATTGTATTTGTTGTGCTATTGTTATGTAATAACCGCACTTGTCTAATCTCTTGTCTAGCACGAAGCAATATGATGGCATACATGTTCATTACGAATCACATCCTACTTATCGTAGTACAAACAATTCGACATCCTCTTCGCAAACATCGACAAACAGCCATGGCTCAAGTAAATCGAGTCAAAGTGGTGGCAAACGTTCGTCAAAACAAAGTAAACAACAACATAATGGAAAGAATCAATTGATCTTTAATCAACAACTACAATTGCTCGTAAATCACTTGGATTGCATAACAGATTTGAAAATTTTCGAGCTACCTTACCCAATGTTAATTAGCGCGGATAGAGATGGTATCGTGAAAGTATTTTTGTAATTACTGTATGTATCTATTGGTGCAACTAATTTTTCAAGGATAGGTGTGTGAAATGGGTGTTAGAAACTTTTTTATTAAATAAATTATTGTAGAACTTGATGTATTGATATCCTATTCGTACGAAAATGATAATGTAAAACGAATCGGCCGTGTTTTTGCTCGGCGCAATAATACGCGAAAGCTGTAAATGTTTCGCGGGAGCAAGACTCAAATATTGTCGTGCGAATGTAACAAATAACAGCATGCTGGCAGTAATTGTTAAAGAGGGTGTATCATAAAGTTAGTCTCTAATAAATCTCCTTGTGAGTTAAAATTTCTTGTTTGTTTTTTTTATAAAAATTTTGAAATTTTCTCTCGCGTGCCGACGCCCCCGTCTACCCACTTCGTCTCATTTCACTATTGTCACCAATCGTTTTTCTAAATCCGCCTTCTAACTATAACAACCAAAGAAAAAAATTTTTTTTCCAAATCCACTTCATTTCGGAAATCCGTAATATATAAAGTACAAGCGACGTTGATGATATAATCATGTCATGTTAACCAGAATATGATTACAAGATCTAGGATTTCGACTGTTATATGAAAAACCACAAAGGTCCCATCATTTTTATGACGAAAATCAGTTACAGTATATGCCTACTACAATTTCAGCGAACATGGTTACGCATTACAAAGAAATACTGTAATAGAGATGTACGAGGAACTCCGGGTTCCTTTAATGTTCACTGCTAAAGTGTATAAAGCTCAGGAAGGACACCCCCAAGGACATTCCTCTCCACGTATCGATCAAAAAGTTCACTGTGCTCAAAAGTTCGATCGTACATACCAATTAACAACGGTTTCGTCAATTGCTTTGCACAATCCTCCAAAAAAGACTCCAGCGCTTCGGCGGTGCAACTCCAATTTGACGGCAGCGAAAATCTTATCAATTTGCTTGGCAAAACTTTACCCAATCTAACCAAAACTTCGCTAATATCGCAATTATTCCCTGAGCTCCATATAATTCGAAATTCTGTCAGTCCCTGACACACTTTAAACAACGAGGGCAGATAAGACACTTTCTCGGCAGAGTAAAATCCCTTATAGGATGTCATTAGTGGGCAATAATTTATGATGGATTCGGTATATGCCGTAAGGTTATAGGAATCCAAGGCGAAACGCCATCGAAACTCGATTATTTCAATATTTTTATGACTATTCATAATTAATGTTATAATTTGGTTAATATGAACGGCATCTATGATTATGTGAATCTCCTTTAGGTTTGGGAATTGAAAATTCACAAATTTTTCAAGAGTCTCGGGTGCCACATTAAAATTTCCACTCAACCACAGCTCCGAAAGTTTCGCGCAACTGCCGAAAATGTCCAGCGGAAAGTTCAAGCATTTTATGGACATCCATTTGAGATGTTGACCTTTGTTCTGAAATGCTTCCTTGAGTCTCGGTAGATCCACTCGATTTCCTCTAAACTCGATAAAAATTCCTTCCAGCGGAATCTTTTGACTTTCGATGAGTGTAGCCACCCCTTCGTTATCCGTACAGCAACAGTCGATATAGAACACTTTGATGAACTTGCAAATTTGGGCGGCTTTCATCGTAATTTTAGGTTCGTGACAACCAACGCATCCGAAAGAATATAGGTTTGCCAGTGCCGTTTCGGCTCTTGGCAGTTGCGGTAGGTTGATCACAAAATTTACCTCGAGTCGATTGCCATCTGGGTCATCGAAACTAATATTCTCGAGGGCGGTGCATCTGCTCATGAACAGCTTGCAAAGTTCATTGACAAGTAAATATAGATGACAATGACCAAGACGGTCATTTTCATAAACTTCAATATCCTCCATTCCCTGTTTACTTAGCCAATTGTGTGCCGCTACATATAAACATTTATATTCCAAGATGTTTAAAAATGCCGGGTAATCGAATATCGGTGGTGTGTCCAGAGCTGATGTAAGAGGAATTCCACTCTCATACAAAAGCTGCTGAGATTCCTCCGACAAACAAGAGAAATAGATTGAGATTAGTGAATAATGTCGATCCCAGTACTCTTTTTTTTCAAACAGCCACGAAAACGGTGCCTTCCAGAGTATAGAATTGGCGATGCGACACCACTTCCTGCATACCAAAGCTATATAATATAAAGTACTAAAACCATTTCTTTGATCCGTATGTTTATAACTGAACTCCGAAAAGATTTTTTCGAGACATTCGGTTGGCAATTTGGAATTCATTAACGCTTAAAAAAAGTTCAATGGTGAATGTTATTTATTGTCGCATAACAGGAGCAAAGCGAACAATCGCCACATCCGGAAATTTTCAAAGTAAAGTACATGATCGATGATAACCGACCTACCAAAAAAAGCGACCGAGCACAAACAATATTAACTAAGCTTGCAGATGTTTTTGATTGCACTACTTTAAATTTTTTTTTTTTTTGATTGCTTTAACCAATTTGTCTCTTTTAAACTATCGATTTCACGACATGAGACTTTCTTGCACGCACGATATGCTGTTGTCCCATTTTATAAAGGTGTAGAATTTGTTAAAAATTTTAAAATTTGGAAATCATCAAAAGAATTTTTTAATTCAAATATGATAAAGCACGTGCTATAATAATCATGTTAAATATTCAGTAAATTAAATTAATAATTAATAAAAATTTTATTATAAAATGTATACTTTTTTTTTTTGACGGGCTCATGCCTAACTTTATTGATTTCCAAATTACATGTATATATTGAGCAAAGTACAAATACATAGGTATATATTCAGGATCGATAAAGATAATGATAAACTAAAGTTATTCCTAAAGCTACTTTAAGATTTATTGCCTTTTCTTTTATCAAAGAAAAACCAGCATCCCTAGAGTATGCTGGTGTCATAAATGAAAATAAAGAAAAATGGAAAAAAGAAAATTGGACAGTTATGTATAATGTATTGATCTTGTTGCTTTGTATATAATTGTCTTGTTCCAGTTTCTCATATAAAAAGGTTTGAGGGAAGAATTTCTATTGAGTTTTTATGGAGATAAGATAGAGACCAAAAAGGAAGACTATATAGTTTTAAGGCTTGTGGGTAAGAGTAATCAAGAAGGCCCAGGTAGTATATTGATATATACATAATCGACTTGAGAGTATTTCAATATATTATTAATTAAATTTATTCCTATCTAAATATGAGTATACTTACCTATTTGTATATCTTATTTCAAATTGAAGTCCTTTATGAGAGACAGTACCTAACCTTGCAATCGACATATCCTACTAGTAACTATTAGTACTAACAATTAATGAGGATCTTCCAGATATTCTGGCTGGCTTGTATGTTACTGCTAACATTTTTAAACTTGAGTTTTGATTGGTGTAGTGATGTTAACCTTTCAATCTTTCAGCTTAGAATTTTTTGAAGATAGAATGAAAACTTTCTGAGTTGTTTTGCATATGAGCTTTATCATTGAGTATCATTGATAGCTCCATGCATTCTCTAGTTTAGACTTTTTCAAGCAGTAGAGGTTGAAACCTACCTGGCATACAATCAAGATATAGGTGGCTTTGACTTGAAAAAAAATCAATTGAGCATCTTATAACCTTTACCATAGTTGGATTGATTCTTTCTTGTATTCAATGATATGTCAATAGTGTGTTCTATATAACTTATAATAGACTCTAAATTCTTATGAAACTGAGAAAATGCATTCAGACATATAAGATGATCAATAGGAGTTTGTTTATCAATCTTATCCAATGTGTTTTGTATTAGCCAATCAGAATCAATGAGATCTATACTACACAAAATTTCAGGGTCAAGCTAGAATAGGTAAAATTTTCTAGAAAATCATAAAAAATGAAAAAAGTAGTTTTAAGAGATCACAACTCCAGTTAAAAGATAGAGAGATAAGTCCTTTAATTGAAATAAAATCTCTATTATCTTTACCATAACTGAAAGGTGAGAGATATTTCACAGTTAATCCTTTTTCCTTTAGAATTTTTCTTGCTATTGATAGTAAAGGTAAAAGTTTTGAACTTTGTAGACTACAAGAGTTCAGTTTGTTTAAAGAAGATTGTAAATAAGATATAGGGAAAGTGAAAGAGTTCTAAAAGTACTCTTTAGGTTGATTTAAGGAAAATTTTAAGACTCTTTTAGCAAAAAAGTATCAAAACTTCTTGCGAATATCTTTTTTGTATATAGTCAGAAGATTAACAAAAAAAGTTTTATATAAAATATATACAGTGGTTTACAAAAGTTTAAAATCACTATTTTTTTTTTTTTTGAGTACCTCTAGTCAGACTAGATTGTCAGTTTATTAATCAATTAAAAATACAAGTACATTTTTATTTGAGCAGCATAATATATACTACATCTAAACTATTATTCTAATTTAACTAACTCATAATAAGCATAAAAGTCTCTAAATTTGATCTTAAGAACAATATTTCACTTCACAATGTCTTTAGATAAAAACTCTTCTAGTCTACTACATTATTGTTGACAGGTTGTTACTGCTATATCTTATATCAAGCCACTGAAATACAAGAAACTACAAAAGGATGAGTTGAAAAAAAGGAAAGGGGGATATCTAAAAATGTCTAAGTAGACAACAAGAAAATAATAAAGTAAAATTGTGTGAAAATAATATAATTATATTATTTTTACTTAGCTTAGGTAATGATGTATAGTTCATAAAATTCAAGTTATTCGAGTGATAAGTCAATTATAAAACTCAAGTCATTCGAGTGATGGGTTAATCATAAAACTCAAGTCATTTGAATAATAGATAAATCGCAAAATTCAAGTCACTTAATCAATAATATATATCTAGGTATAATATGTAGATTACAAAACTCATTTAGAAAGTCAAATTCAATATTAATAATGCTTTAATCACTTATTAAATTTCATATATTAGTTTAATATTTCCAATTGATTTTCTTTAAAAATAAATACCTGAATTAGGTTATAATGAATCCTATTACTCATTCTGTATTTTCTATTATAACTCAAATTTGATAGTAATATAATGTATACCAGTTTAGTCGTGATTAATTTCTGTTACTGGATTACATAAGCAAAAAAAAATCTAATGATACATTCAATCATATATCATTATTTGTAAATCTGGTTTGTGCATTATTAGTAGCAATAGGATTTTTAACTGTGAATTTGGAAATAGTTAAAATATCTTTAATTCTATTTTCAAGCTCAAATTCAATTTCAGAATCAGTTTCCAAATTATAATCTTGTTCTAGCTTTTCTATATAAGTTTTAAAACCCTTTCCAATTTTCTGTATTAAGAGTTTGTTGATAACTTGATCTGGCTTATTATTACATTTTACTTTTTCAATTATTTGTATTATAATTTTATCAATAGTTTGAGTTAACTTGCTCTTACAATCTTATATTGTTGTCATTTTATATATTGTATAGAATATTTAATAAAAAATTAATTATACAAATACTATATCTAATCAGTTATATTATATATATGTTATTGGATCATGCTATCAATTTATTTTATCCCTAGTTGACCCTAGAAAATCTGTTCTAGTTGCATTCTAGTTGTGATATATATTTGTAATATTATTAAAAAATACTATCAAATTAATTTTATCTATATTTAAGATACGTTATATTAAAGTATGCCAATATTGATTGCTGAAATTTTTGATACCAGAAATATATAAGAAGGTATGTGTATACTATCAGGTATGTTATACACATGCTATCAAAAAATACTATTGAATATATTATCTATCAAAAATATATATCATTGAAAGAATATTCTTCTACTATTTTTCTTATAATATATTATTATACTTGAATACCTTTAATGACATGTCCAAAAACATACCATTGAAAGGATATTCTTCTACTATTTTTCTTATAATATATTATCACACTTGAATACCTTTGATATTATATCTGATAACATATTGAAAATCTATCGAAAACATATTATTAAAGTGTAATTTTCTACTATATTTATTATATATTCTGCAATGACTATATCCAAATACATATTATGAAATTGATAAACATCTGCCATATTTATTATATATATTTCACTAAAACTCAATATATTTTTTTTTTTGATACCACTGCATACCAACAAAAAAAATAATTTAAACTCCAAACTATATTATAATAATATAATCAAACAAGAATTGATGTGTACTAATAAAAAAATGAGTATACAAAATATATAACTCAAGTAATACAGGAGTAAGAAAACTAATGACTATTCAAGTAACTCAAATATCTATAGTAATAATATATCTGAAAGTGAATCAGAAAATTGTAGTAATTATAGTTTTGATTATGAGTCAGATACTGAGACTACCATTAAGTCTCCAATATTTCAACCTCCTAAAGTAAAAGAACAAATATCTAATTTGATGTATTACACAGATCAAGTGCATCTGATATATTATATAAGGTAAAAAAAATTTAATGAAAAATTTATCAATCAAGATTTATTAAATAAAATTTATAAAATTGCTATCTCACCAGTCAAAGATATGACAGATAAAAAAGATTTGCTGGAAGATTTATATTTATAAAACTACCTTTTACCTAATTATGGAACAAAAGAAAGAATTAGTCTATTTGACACATATACACAAGAGGAATTGATAGATATATTAATTATTCAAGTAAAACAAGGTAAATATAAAAGGTTCTTCTTGTAGATAGTATATCCAAAATATATGGTTTACTCAGAATTCATGAATATATTAATGGATAGAAATCATTAAAACCAGTTATTGATATTGATACCTCTAGTGAGAAAATAGAAGCAAAAAAGATCAAGACTATAGATGTATTCATCCAAATTTGTGTTTTCTTTATAAAAGCATCATT